TTCAAGAAGAATCTGGACTTCAATTACTGTTCTATTGTCTAGTGCCACTGTTGTCTCGAAGAAAAAGAATCCCCTGTACTGGGCCCTGAATGCCCTCGACTTCCACAGGTACCTTCCAGCTCTTGGCGCTGCGCGATGCGGAAAGGGATACTGCCTTGGGAGGCTGAGAAATGAGAGGACACATTCCCAGTAGAGTAGCAATGGTGCCTTCAGCACACTCAAGATATTCAAAGTCTCGTATTTACTTTTTTTAAGATGCTTTCAAATGTTTCTAACTTCTCTATGTACATATTTTATTGTATGTGCTTTTATGAACGAAAAACAAAAACCAACAAAAAAAACCTAGTTGGGAAAAAAGGGTTTGTACTGTACTTTAACTGAAAAGTATCAAACCCAAGTATAATGTTTACATTTATGTTCTCTGTGGTGCAGTCTCATGATCGTAATATCCAAACCTTAGCATTTGCAAAGTCTTGCTGCATTGGTCATTAAAGGAATGGACATTATCTGTTAAATTTAAGCCTATGGCATAATATTGTGAAGGAGTTATTTTACTGATGAAGGTGGGATTTCCTTGGAAGCAGAGTGAGAAGCTCTGTTGAACGTTTCGTGATTGTCTTATGTTATTTATGTGGTCCAGGGTGGTAATGGGAGATGAATTAATTTCCGAACCTAACCGGCTGTCTTTTGATGGTTTAAATAATGTCTCTTCCATTTTGGATGCTGCCCTACTCTGTCTAATTTTATTAAATCCAGGTGAGAGCACTTTTCCATAAAAGAGATGCAAACTCTTGCTTAATGATATAAATTACAATGAAAATGTGTTAATAGAAATTAATACTCCATTTGTAAATTTTGTAAAATAGAATATTGGTTTGATTTGGTCTAAATAGACAAATTTTGTGATATCTTGGAGAATATCCAGATAGCTTTTGGGATTTATCTTTCACTTGAATCTGCGGTAATTGTTTTATCACTGTTTTGAAGCTGCTTACGGGTTCCCTAGGTGGAGTATTCAGTTATTTAATAACTGTTTACTTTTTGAACTATAGAAGTGTCAGACTTTTTGCTTTGAAACTCTTTTATTTAAACATGCAATAATTGAGAAGGAACAGGGTATAGTGGCTATATAAATGTATTGTTAAGTGGAAAACAGGCAGAATACTAGGCACGCTAGGAAGTGGAAATCATTTTGCGGAGGTGAGGCGAAATGATTAATGAGCCTTATCTAGTATTTTTTTAAAGATAAAACTATATTCAGCACTTTTTATTTATGCTTTTTATAATAGTAAATCTATTATTGACTAAATTGCTGAACTTTAATTTTCAGAGTGCATAGTTCATGAAATCTGTAATCAAATCTTACCTAACTACTTTCTCTAGATTAGATCTGGATTAGGAGTTGTCTTTAAACTGATCCCGTACTGCGATAGCATTACTGGCTTTGAGGCTTCTGCAGTTGTGCTTGTACAACTACTCCTGCTTGATACCAATCTCGTGGGGCTCACTGGTCAGCCAAGTAGAGAGCTACAATTGCTGACTAAGGGAAACTTGTGTGACGGCTTTAGTCTTTGCCTTTTCTTCAAAAAGCTGCATTGATTATAATTGTACCAGCTGCTTTATACCAAAACACAACCCAAATTGTGTTAATACATTACGAATTTATCGAACTGTACAAAGTCCCTTTTCAAGGCCTTTAATCTGCAAACCCGCGATTCGCAAGCAAACTAGTGAGGTTTAAACAGCACTCAAGTTTTGCATATTTAACTGCTTAAAGTGTGGTAGCTTCTGCTCAACCCACAGCTGAACCAGAGGAAAGCTGTAATGCAGACTTGATTATATTGGCAATAACAGCTCCTTTTGCTGATGTAGCTTACTCAAAGTAACTTGTTTAAACTGTACTAGTAAAATAGGGTTTTGCTGATCAAGAGCAGTGTTTCTAATATCAGGGTTTGTAAATGTCACCGTACCTACAAATCCTTTCCAGTCTACAAACGGCCAAAATGGAAGCTTGGAAATTAATTCGGGTTTTTCTTTTTAAAAAATGAAAAACGTTGTTCTCTAGTAGAGAGTTTAAGAAGTTATTAACAACTGATGTAGTACGGAATAAAGCAGTGTACTGAATTTTTAAAAGAGGAAAAATCATGTTACATATTGTTAATGCTTTGAAAACTTGTTTTAAATATTGTTAAAAACAAATATTTTTCAAACCTTTCAATAAACTCTTTTTGTAAAGTTGGATTTGTAAAGCAGCATTTTGACTGTTGAGAATATAAAATGAGGTATACACAAGGACTTGCTTGGAAGGCAGATGTCCAGTGTAGGGGTCAGTGCATTGTCTCCTGGGGCAGTAGCATCTGTTGCCTAGAAATACACCGAAGTCTTTTTTGAATGTATATGTCTGGTGCCAGTCTCTTCTCAAAAGTTTCAAAATAAAAGCTGGATTTGCTGTGCAAGTTGAAACAAATCTTCTGTACAGAGTTGGGCTGCATCAACTACCTTTTTGAAGGCCCAAGAGTAGAAAAATGAGGAAAGAAATAGATAAGGGCAATAATCTGAGATAATCTCTGATAATTTGGATACCTATTAAGTTTAAGATTGAGAATGTGGTTGAAATGCCCATTCTATCCTTGCCTTTGCACATTGTGACCAAGTTCTAGATGCTTCTTCCATGAAACTTGTGGCTAATGATTAGGATTAAGAATCTTTTTATGATTTCACAATTAATCTGTAACCTATTCCAACAGTTCATGCATGTCAAATGGTTGATAACTGTGAGGAAATACCTTATGCAGGTGACATAGCTGCTTTTAAATGGGGTTCATTTCCTTTACAAGGTACCTTAGAAAGGGTTTTCCATCTTCTCATGCCGTGCTGGTGACAGACTCTTGCTGTCCATGGCAAAACAATAACCCACCATTTCTGTCCACTCTGCCTTCATTACTGCCATTCAGTAATGCACAATGAAAAATTGAACTCAGAAGGCTTGAACAAAGAACAGGTAGAAGATATTAATGCAAAAATTAAGCATGAGTGGTTTGGACCACTTCTTCCTGCTGGATGGACTTATTTTACTGCACATGAAAAAGCAGCCTTTCTAAGGGCTGCGTTTGAGAGATTTCTCAGATAGCACGGAAGAGAAGATTGATCAAAGAGGGGGAAATGTTTGTGTATATATCAGGTGTTGTGTAAAGAATCTGCACAAATTACCTAGAAGTGAAATCTCCTTTTACGTCTCATTCTGGGTAAGCCTTGCGAAATGTTTTCGACACAGGAAGATCTTGGTGACATGTAGAGCAGTAGCTGCTGTTTGTTTGGTACAGTGTGATTTGTTCCCATTGTCTTCCTCCTCTATAGGCGAATACCAATAAAAACCCATGATGAGTAACTTTGGATTTATCCAAAATTAACTTTGGATTTAGCTGGATTAATCTCCCGCTTTAATAATAGAAAATGTGAAGTTGGGTTCTCTGAACCAGTTGGTTTAATGATTGTCTGCATCCAGGATTAGAGTGGCTGGGCAAAAAATAAAGTGCTTCAATTTAGAGTAGGCCAAAGATATTGTCTGCAGATTATGACAGGATTGGGTATCTGGAAACTTTCACAGATTCAGCCCAGCAGCTCTTATCTACACAAGTATGAACTTCAAGACCTTGTGAAAAAGAACAGGCAGATTTCCACAGGAACTTAGTAAGACCTTAGTTGGGAATAAGAACATTTTTCTGTAAAAATATGAAGGTTAATTCTCCAAGGCATAACAAGACATTTCTGCTTTTGGGGAGGTATGTTTGAACGTAATCACAACTTTTTTTCATTCTAACGATACAATTGTTTCTGCCAACTCCTTGCTATGAAGATAAAAGCATAGCACAAGCTGACTTTTGTCAGCTCATTTTGACCAAGTACAGGCCTACTGCAAGATCGAGGTCTTCCCGTAGGAGTCCTGCTCCAGGCAAGACCTGCTGCATGTCTGCTTGGTTTAGAAAAGGATTGAATATGCTTAATTGTGTTCCTCCATTTCAGCAACAATTCATAGCTGCATTTTGACTTGTGGAATGAAGTCACAGTCATCAGCTGGTACTCCCGTGCTTTCTCTTGGTATTGTCAGCTGTATGCAGGCTGACCACGGACATTTAACCCCTTCAGACCTCCACTGTACTATCCATAAAATAGATTTGTTTCACGTTTAGAAGACTAGGATGAGAGAAATGTTTTTTTATAGAAGTTTTGAGATCATCCTTGTGAATTTCCCTAACAAGCTGCAATAAACTATTTTAACTACTTTTTGCAGAGTACGGTACCTGCAAGTTAAAGATGTAGCTGAAGAGGAATGCAAGGGCAGTGTTCACAGCACATGCGAGTTGCAGTTCCAGTCTCTTCCATACTCAGTTTGTAAACAGACTTCCCATTGAACTCGTGCTGCTGATAGGAGACATAATTATTCATGTGCAAACTGTGGTTATACTTTATTAAAAAATAAACAGCCAGTAGCTAAAGGTTCCAATCAATAGAATACCAAACTTTAAATTACAATATTAAAGGCTTATTTTAACAGTCACTCTTGTGTATGAAATGGCACATTGGTTAGATGCACTATAGGAAGGCATGAGATTACACTGCGTAGTTTTCATGTGTAGCTGGGATTTAAAAAAAAAAAATAGGTGAAATATTCTGAAGTCAGAGGAGGAGCGAGAGCCCTAGCCATTGGGTGGGCATTAAGTCATCGCGCAGCCGTAGTGGAGATCAGGGAATACAGCTGTCATCGGAACAACTTCGGGGCTTGACCTCTGTTCAGCAACAGATCTGAGTTGAGAAATGATGGCAGGGCAATCCACCTCTAGACTCAGTAATGAAAGATGAGTGTGCAAACTATTTTCATTATGTTTGTGTATATCCAAAAAAACAGCATTTATGTTAACAACATTCTCTACTCACATGCATGTTGTGAACCTCCTGTGGTTACAAAGCAACATCAGGAAAACAAGGCGTGAAAGATGCTTTGTCCTGTCAGCAAAACTCACTGAATTGAGAGGATTACTGTTAATTTCCCGAGCGCGCTTTGCTTTTTAAATTAAGTTACCAGCTGCACTGCTCTAGTTCCCTAACGCAATACCAACCAAGAAATGTATAGATGTTTTTCTGAGCAACTTCCTCTATCTCTGTGAAAGTGACCCAGTATCTTACATCCTGAATGCAGGTACTTGGTCAGAACTTCCCCGGCTATGATTTCACTCTGTAAGAGCTGCCCATAGAACACGAGGGGGATGCTCAGGAGTCGATCCTTCCATAGGAAGAAAACACTGTGGAAGAAAGGAAGATCGGTCAACACCAATGCCCAGCAGCATTTATGTCCTTCATGTAGAAGGAGGTTTGGGTAGTTTAAGATTAGTGGCTCTCTAGGTCCCTTTATTCTGTCTCTCTTGGTTATTATGAGGTGGTTATACAGCATGATAAAGAAGAAGAATTACGTGTATCTTGTGTAGAGGAGATTTTTCCACACAGGTTTGTTTTTCTGGATAGCAGCAATTCTTCCATAGGTTGGAAGCAACTTTGACTAACGTCGGTTTTCTTCAGGGAGAGCTCACACATGTTCCATCCAAGTTCTGAGCTTTGTTAGGCCAGTAAATTCTGAGGCTACAGTAGTGCTTGATGTCATTAGGGTCTGTCCTTTATTGTGACTATCCGTAACTATTTTCCTGGCTCAACAAGCTCTCTACTAAATTGTGATACAATAGGTTACAACCTTCATAGTTAAATTAACCTTTTGAAGTACTTACTTCTTTCTCTCAGCCCTTGCCCAAAGCTGCGGTAGACGTGAATCAGTGTCCAAAACAAAACAGATTTTATTGCAACAGAAATGCAAGAGCCAATAATGAAAGCAGCTTCCAGAGTGTAAGAACTCCCTTTGCCCCACTCCTTTATCACCTGCAGGAAAATGGAGACATACAACAATCAAGACCTAATGCTGCAAAACCCCGAAGCCATAAAATGCGATCAGTTACTAAATTTCTGAAACAAGTCACTAGATAGTAATTGGGGGGGAAAAAAAACTGGTCACTTTTAAACAGTCTTACTTTCCTGATTATGTGATACCTGGGCTGCACGCTGCTAAATGCAGTGTGTGTGCTAAATGCGTTATACCTTCTGATCTCTGCATTGTTAAAGTCACATGGAAACAGTATTGTGCCCAGACTGAAGAAACAATTAAGCTGGAGATAAGAAAACCAGACTTCATCTTACACCTCAGTCTCTTTCCACTGTAAAATATGGAATGAAGTTACGTTCCCAGGCTGTCGTTGTACTGTTATTGTCACGCATGTCTGTCGTGATCCCATGAAGCTAGCCTGATAACTGGGCTTATGACATTAGTAATTGCCTACCCTGTGCTTTTTTGAGGGGTCTGACACAGAGAAAATGGTAACTTTTAATTAAAAGCAACAATATTTACACCCTGCGCCTACCTGCTGCATTGAAGAAGGATCACTGCTCCCATGAACAAAGTATGATCAGGCATGTTAATGCTGAGATGAGAGACCTCTGCAAAAAATCCAGTACTGAAGGAATGTTACTAAGATCTAGCAGTACTCTTCTCTCCTTCCTGCGGGTTTGAGTCACTGCCCCAGCAGGCCTAGTGATTATCAGGGTGAGATTTAAAAAAGCACAGCTCTGACTACTTTGATTTGTTAAGAAACCCAATGGTGTGTATCCCAAATCAAGGCAGGTTATGGATGTCCTGGCCAATCTTGGTGCAATAACTTTGTTTGTCTATCAAGTTCTATCAGTTTTCCTGTTTACACTGCAGAGGGTTGTTAAGCAGCTGCTATATAGAGTCAATCTAGCAGCTTTTTCAGAGCTGAAGTAATGAATGGTAAGTGCAGTTTACTTTTTTTTGTGCCTTTCAGGTAGTCAGAGAAAAGATGCTAAAAAGAATTGGTTTGGAGAAGTGACTTTATTACAGATCTCTCTAGCACTGAGGAGTGTTGCATTGCATATCCATGCCCTCGTTTGCTGGTCACTGTTGAGTGTTCATTGTTACCATGCAAAATTGGAAGGACGCATAGCTATTTTTAAGTTGTCGTGTTACTCTTATGTCAGAAGCCCCCACCTGTATGTTTCTTCCTAACTGCAATACAAGTACAGTGTAGCCACCAAAGACAGTGTGTGGTCCTCCTAATTGCAAGAGCCCGATTTGACTGCACACTTTAATAAATAGAACCCCAAGGACTTGGATGGCTGCAGCCACTGGACTTTTATCAGTATATGGAGACTATTTATGTGAAGTATGAGAAACACTGGCTGCTATCAGCATTTGAGCCCTCCCCATGATGAACAATCTGCTTTGCCCTTGACCTTCTTCTTCCTTACCTCCTTTCACACGTGTTATGGGAGGTGCTGGGGTGCCCCAGCGCTTTATCACTATTACAGTGCCAAAAAATGCCTAACTCTGGAGTTTGTCAGGCTTGCACTGTCTTTTGTTTTGGCTACATCAAGATCAACAGCTGGGGCAGCTGCCTAAGAAATTCTTTAAAATGTAATGACTTGAGGCCCTGCAGGTGGTCAAATGCTCTGGCACCACTTGAGACTTCTTGTGAAGGAGGAGAGGCATTTTTTGAGGAGCTGTGTATCTTGTACTGGAAGATTTTGTTATATCTTTTCCTAATCATTCTGGATTCTTTGCCAGTTGCAGAGACTTCCAGGGCCTCTCCCTCTAACTAATCAGTTCAAGAGCAATTTGACATGGTTCCTGTCCTGAAAAGTTGACCCTGAAGAGGTAGGATGTGCCTGCTGCTCTCATTGATTCTAACAGGAGCTGCCACAAAGGAGTGTGCGCTAGAATGAGGCACCACGTTTTGGGCCCAAGGATCCAGTAACCAAGAGGAGGCCGCCAGCCTCGCTCCCCATTATTTAGCAAGTAAGTTAGATGAATTACCGTGTAAAGCAAGTAGATGAGATAAACTACTTCAGGTACATTCTGACTCAGAAAAATCCACACTAGAGGTTTCAGTTCTTTTAAAATCTGTAAAATAAAATGAGATATATACAGCTTTATAACTTGTTGCTATGTACTCTGTAAAGGCTATATTTAGTTGATTTTTCAAGAGCATTTCAAGTGTTGGTCTAGCTGAGTTCTCAGTTGTAACTTTGCTCTCCACTTGCCTTCTCTACCCATATTTTTTTAGCAGAAAATATGGTCTCTGTTTTCCACTGAGCTGGGCCAGGACTGATGTGTGTGAAATCAGAACTGGTTGTTTCATGGGCATATCCTGACAGCTGTGTGTGATTTGAGCCATCTCACAGAATGACAAGGGTTGGAAGGGACCTCTGGAGGGATCTTGGCATCCTCTTGAGCTCTGCCTTCTCATACTTACAGTACAACTCCCAGCTAGCTTAAAGGGAGAAGCAGCTGACTCTTCTGAGTTGTGTCTAAGCTGATGTACTTTTTCTTTGGGTACACTCAGATTTTTCTCTAACAGATTAACGTTTTCATAGCTAACAGACTGAAATCGCTCTGTGACTTTTTTTCTCCGCGTTTGTTTCTACTATAGAGAAGTAAAATCCCTGAGAACTAAAATGTGGGAGAAGCAAGAGGATTTAACTGTGAGAAAAACTTTGTTTCACAATTAACCTTGGGACTTGGGAAAGAAGAAATGATGTACTGCTTTCCAGCAGGTAGCAACTTTCACCAGTCCTGAACTGGAAGGGCAGGTCTGAGCGAATGACAGAAAAACAGCTGAGTCACTGGGACCGAAAGCAGTGACTCTGCTAGTGCTACGATAAGATTTGATACATCTGATCAACAACAGATATCCCCCCCTCCCCCCCAAAATCAATACTGATCCTTCTGCAATGGTCAGTATATGAAGCTCTACAAAAGCATTAAGGGAATTGTCCCTCCTCTAAGGGAGTTTATGTGTTCTCTGCCACCTCTACTCTTGTCTCTGTTTTCTGTGGTACTGCATATTACTCCTCTTAGGATAAGACCAAAAGGGTAAGGAAAACAAAGGCTGAGAAACAAGAGGAGGGGGAAAGAGAGAATTGGTAATTAATGGGAGAAAAGAGAGAAAATAAATAACAGAGATAAGAAAAATAAATCTACTAAAGTAAATGGGAGAGCATGTATATAAATAGAAGAAAAATAATGAATAATCTCCTGGTGAAATAGCATGTGCATCAACGCAGAAATAAGGGAGCATGAGGTTTAGTTATGCGTTCAGGTACTGCAGTTACCAGAAAGGACTGTGCACGAGGCGTTTCCAAGTTTTCCCTTCTATAATGCTTGTACTTTCTGATGGATTATGTATGTCTCCATACCTTTCTTACATAACAACCTCATAGCAGGTGTAGTTTCTGAGAACACCAAACAAGACAATGACACATTTCTCTACTGCTGCATCACCTGCAAGAAGCTGATTGTGGAAAAACTTGTCTGAACAGGGTAAGGAAAAGGAGTTCCTATTGTCACCCCTCCGTTGAACTGTCTACATGCTCTAGCCTAAGACACAATCATTTTTACCTTCGGTGCAAATCTACCAGACTTTCATGAACTGTATCCACTTTTCTAACTTGCTGCTGTCCTGCAGTGCTGCCCCTTACTGAAATACGACACTAATCTTTTTCATTAATTTTACATTTCCTATTTCTTAGACAAGAAGCTGTTAACTTCTTCCAGTAGAGAAGTCAGTAATGTACCTAGATGGGGTAAACAGTAGCTTTCAAGCAGTTCTAATGTAGACAGTTTTGAGAAAAGGGCAAGGATATGTACTTATCCCTAGTACATTTACTACTACTGGTTGAACTATTAAGAAACACGTTTGCTATTGATGACAGCATAAGGAATATCATGTATGTCCAAACATGAGACCATCTAACTGAAGAGCCTCTTTCTTGTCTTAAAAGACAAAGTGCCTCTTAATGCCTAAAGGCAAATCAACAAGAAGCAAACAACTCATAATCAGTGAATGGCAACTGGTCAGGTCAACTTTGTTTCTGATGGTGGGGGAAAAGTAGCTGAAGGGTTTACACTTTTAATCCTAGCAGGAAAACAGACATGGTTCTGATTACTCCCTTCTTTCCACACCTGATACAATTTAACTGAAAGCAAAGATCCAGTAGGTCACAAAGGTATATAAGGAGGAAACCAAACTATTTAATATCCCTATCTGCATTCCTAAGTGTCACACTCACAGTTAGTCCTGTCTCCGTTTTTCCCTGTTGGATAGCTGTCAGTGCCCACGTCCAGGAGAAAGATGACTCTGTGCAACTCTTCATCTAAACTTACTGAAGTATTTTAAAAGCATGGTGCTTGGTGCTAGCTCCATTTTTAGCAAGGCAGACAGTCAAAACACTTGGAAAGGTGTATTGCAGCTGTCAGAAATTTGAATAGCTAAAGCAAACACCCAAGGAGCCTAAAAAAAACCAACAAACCCAAAACCCCCTAAAGTCCTTCCTGGTAATAAAACCCTTGCATATCTGATGTACTTTGGCCCTGATTCTGCAATCGTTCTTGGAACACAGCTCTCAAGATTTCAGAGGAAGTTCAGTCTAACTGACGTGACAAACTACATTTCAAGTTCACAAATTCTTATGTTAACCTGCAAACTGTCTCTCACCTTTAAAGAAGCTGCCCCAATAAAGGACCACTCATCTTTTTGGTGTGGTTTCCTAAGGATATAAGGCCTGTGCAGCCTCACTGTGTCTGCATATCCTTCTTCATAATAATCTGGAGGACTGTTGCCAGTTTCACCTAACCTTGTCAGAGAGGTAGAAATATAAAGATACTGTGATCCTGTAGGTTTCATTAAATTAGGTGATCAAGGACTGAGAATAAAACAATGTCCCTCAGAAAGGAATAATGACAGTGTGATGTTTTTTTCATCCTGTATGCTCAGTTGAGAGACACAGATTTATAAGAACCCTGACTTCGTTATTGTTGGTGCTGCTGTTTTCTGCTGGGATCCATTCTGGCTCCCTTCTGCTTAGCAGTATTACATAGAATGGGATGGCTGTGACTTCCCAGCCTGTGATAATCGCTCAGGGTGAGAATTTGTAGTCTCAGAAGTTGATTATCCTTGCTAGTGTTGCTGTTAGCTTAACACTTACTGCGATGATGCTAATGGTCACCTTCAGGCAGGCCCAAAGAACCCCTGTTGCTGAGATGATGTTATGTAGAAGGGTGATCTCATGTAGGCTTATCAGCAGAACACACAAGCAGAGCTGAAAGAGAAGAGGCAAAGTTTTGGTAAAATTATTAGTCTGAGACCATACAGCCCACCAAAAAATATGTAACACGAACTCCCAGCAACAGTAAGTTGGGGACATGTCTAAAGGCTAAAATTTTTCCTCAGAAACTGACAGACAGTACAAAACAGGACACAAGGACAGACATACTTCCCGATAAAACTTAAGGTAATACAGAGTAATATAATAGTAAAGTAATAATGAAGGGTAGTGTACAGAAGTACACCCTCTTTCTAAACACATCTTGGGTTCACTTCATTTATCTGTAACTGCAGGTTGCTGTCTCACCCTGATTGCCCTGTTAGGACAAGCCCCCCTCTCCCATCCCAGTATCGTTTCCTGAAAGGTAGGAGACAGCTAGGATGCCTGGAGAGCAAGAGACTGTAGGCTGAGATGTGCAGCGATAACCTTTGTTATTTTAGGAAGTCACATTGGGTTGGAGCTTCTGGATGCAATTGTTTTTGGGGACAAACTTCCCAAAAATGTTTCAGATCTCCTTTTGGGCAGGACAATGATAAAATATATGTCAATTCATTTTTATGGATTTTAACTAAGCTTCCCTATAGGAAACACCTGAAGAGACGACCATGATTAAGCTAATCTTATCTAAAAGGTAAGATACAGGCAGGATTGCTCTCAGAAATTAACAGTTCAGCTCAGCTAGTCTAAGATATTGCCAACAGGAGGGAAAAAAGGGAACCCAGGGGGCGAGTTCCATACCTGTGCCTGAAGATCAAAGGTCAACATGGAAAAACAGAGGTTCAGCATGAAGTATTGTGACTGTAGGCTTTCTAGAGCACCACCCACTCGAAAGGCCATCATGCTTTGACTCTGAATGAGGATGATGGCGCAGATCACATCAAAGGACCCAACCAAGAGGATCAGAACGAAGCGGGCCTGATGGGAAAGAGAAATATGCAACCATAAAAGGGAAGGACTTCTGAGAAGCATGGCAAGCGGAAGTTTAACTACAAATCTTCAACTACAAATCTTAGTAATGCCTAGAACACAACCCTTGTATTATATTTTATTGTTATGAAATGCAAACAAGAGAATATGGAATAGCACGTTGTATCTTTGTGTTTCCTTACCGCAATAACTACAATAACTCTCTTGAAAACACATCGCTGCGGTTAAGGAGCAGTGAGGCTAACGGCTATGTCCTTGCATATAGACTTGAGATTCCAGTTCTGTTTGTAGGTTAGATTTATGTGACTTTACAACAGTCATTTTATAGACAGAAATCTGAAGCAGAGTAGGTGAAGTGAAGGATATCTCCTGTGGTAATCCTGTGCGAGCAAAATTCTGTGATATTTATGTTACTTTCAGATACTGCCATAAAGAAACCCATAGAATAGCTCAGAGAAACAAACTTGCACTTGTGGAGGTGCATAATTTTGTTATTCAATGGTAGGAATAATTCAGCCTGATTTTTCTCTGTTATCAGTGCCCTTATCACAGATGTCCTGCTTTTTTAAGATTTTCAAATCCAAGATGTGGACAAAACCAAAGTTAATTAAAGCCAGGAGACTAACCAGGAGTTTTGACTTTTGCTCAGCAGAGAGAACTGTGAAGTTGACAACAGAACGAAACATCACTAGCAAGATGGAAAGAACAAAGACGATGAGCTCCTGGCGATTCTCCTGCAGGATTCCTCTGGTCACATAGTACACGCAGAACACTGGGAAGGAGAAGGAAAGGTCAGTTACCAGGTGAACACAGATTGCACATGGTGCAATTTTTCCATATGCATGATCCAGATGACAAAATGGAAGTATCAAGACTGTGTAACTTAGGCTCCTCAGTCAAGAGTGTATCTTTATTCTTACCAGAGACCCTGAATCAGATACTTAAAATGAGTACTCTCCCCTGTGTTTAGCATACAAGAAATGATTTTTTAGATTTTTTAATTACTTGTGAAGTAACACTTTGAAAATGGCAACATATTAGCAATCCAAATTAATTGGAAGCTGTGGTATGCTGTTCTATTAATACTATATTGAACACTATGTTGAATAGTATATTTGAATTAAATGAAGCAGCACCATTTTTAATAAAGAACTGAAATTACATAATCTTCCCGGTGAGAGTAATTCAAGTAACAAGAAATTTACTGCTCACACACATATCCCTACAGGATTGTTTGTGAGGGTCTGACCAACAAAAATGGCTTGTGTGTTGAACTGAACTTAGACATACTGCATTCCTAACATGGTGGGGTTTTTGGTGTGGAAATTTTGAAACACCCCACCCTGCAAACTATAGTCCAGAAAAGAACTGGTTTAGGAAAGTTCTGATTTATGTTTTTGTAAAATACATCAAAACCCACGACTCTTAACACCACAGTTAGCTGTCACTGTTGAACTCTAGACTGTTTTGACAAAGCCTAAATAAGGAAAAGGCTTCTTTCATAAAACCAGGAATTGGTGCTTTGTTGTTATATAGGATGCTCCTGCAAACACTAGTTAATTCTTACCATAGACAAACTAACAATAGATTTCTTTTTCCAGAGGACTACTTCCTGGATTCCACACATCAAATAATCTAGTTTTGCTAGGTTGGAACATGAGAACAAAGTGTTGCAGAAGTTTTCAAAGTAACATAATAACTTCAGTTTCTCTAAACAAATCTTCTAGTGAATAAACTTCCTTTTTCCCTTTTATTAACAGTGATTGAGAGAACTGAAAATGACTGGCAAATTACAAAGTGAATTGTAAGACTTTTTTTCATGCTTATGACCTCAGAAAGACCTGGAAGATTTAAGACAGTATTTCCTTGTTTTGCAAATTCAGCTGCTAAATCAGAAGAAGCCTGTACAAATAATTTGGAAACAAACTTTGTTCTGAGCATTAAGATTTTTGCAGAGATAGAATATGCACATTTCAGAAATAAAGGACATCCCCTCATATTTGGTAAGTGAATATTTTTCAACAAATTAAATCCCAAACCTGCTTTAAAGTAAATATCTCTAATGGTAAATCCAAGAGATTGTTATAGCCAGGCCATCTATTTTTCTTTAAAGAACTATTATCAGTTCTGTCAGTCTTTGTCTACCCTACAGAAAACATGTGGTTTTGGCATGTAGAGGTTTTGGAGGTTAGCTTACACATCTTAAAACCTCAAGGTAAGCCAATCATGGTCTTAACATGTTCTTTGCATGACGTTATCTGACTAATATGTTGAAACAACAACTTTTGTTTACATTAAAACTTTGAAATCTGAAGTAATGTGTTAAAAATACACTATTTTTCCTGATTTAAACCAAAGGTTTGTGAGACGCATGCACTTCTTCCTGTGTGTGTGTTGCAGCATCAAATAACTAATTAGTATCAACAGAAGGTAGGAGGGGGAAAATAGATTAGCAAGCATGCTTTCAACTTCCCCATTTATAACATCATGTGATTCATTTCATTTATGATGAACGTTCTTCATTTTTCTCTGAAACACAAAACAGTGGTTGCTAACAAAAACAGTGTGACAGATTGGAAGCACCAATGGTCTGTTCTAACATTGCAATTTTTGTTGATACGCTGAGTCCTGTGTGAAAAGCTGCTAATCAAACCAGAGTTTTGGAATAAAAGTATTGTTTGTATGTGTCTAATTATAGAATCTGGAACAAATCTATTGTCCTTGTTCCCTCTGGGTGAAAGCATGAAAGCTGGAAAGCAATGACGGCTAATGATTAGCGTGTCCTTCTCAGATACAAGGTGTTACACCCACAGAGGGTCTATTCTTTTCTACACTGCTTTGGCCAGCGAGCCAACAGCCAAAATCTGCTAAAGCCACTGAAGAGGACTTCCTAAAATACTTATAGTTGTATTTATTTTCATGTTAAGTTTCATTTCTATTTAATACAAATGGACCCAGGAATATGAGCATAAGTTTCTAGTGAAGTTCTAATTGGAAATATCCAAGGAAGTTTGGATTTTGCTTCCAGCACTACAAAAATTATCAGAGAAAAAAAAAAAAAAAAAAAAGAGACCTTTAAAAAAATTTAGGTCCTTACTTTCTTTTATTAAAATACTTCTGGTGAAGCAACATCCTTGCAGGAACTTAACACAGAGAGATGACATCACATTTTCTTGTTTCAGATCAAACTGTGTATGTTTGGTTTTTTGCAATGTAAGAACGGTGCCTTGAAATCAACTACAACTCGGGTATTAGCATGGCTCATGTCAGGAGATGCACATTCTATGACAAGCCTCAGTGTGGACACTTCTGAATTCCCCAGCATATTACGGCACAGACATTAACATGGGAAACAGTTAGCTCTTTCCGGCATAGCTGAACATTCAGTATATCTTCCATAAAGTGACAGCTGTCTGAAAACAAAATCATTGCCACATCTGCCTAATGAAACACCACTAAGAAAGCAGATTATAGCAAAACTTCCTAAAATCTGAATATTTTTTCACACTATTCACAAATGAATGTATTCTGGATGACAACATATCTGTTACTGATCCTTTCCCTAAAATACTACCAGAAAAAGCAACAATAGCAAAAGCCTCTAGCTTTTACCTTGGTAGTGCTAAACTAGCAGAAGATTCTATGCGTAACATATCAGGTCAAATAGAGTGAAATAAGAAACTTCAGTTGCTGCTTAATTTCTACTTTGGGGGAAAAAAATGTTTTAAAATACAAACAGTATGTTTCTTACCAACTCCAACTAACTGAATAAGAGAAATGGTGAAATCTTCCTCAGTTTGTCGAATGAGTGTCTCTATGGTTAGACCTATGACACTTAGCAGAGACAAAATAGTGACACAGAAGTAGATCTTCACAGGAAATGATAGCTCTGAACAAGGTTTTATCTGTAAAGGAAAAGAATTTTTAAACACACAATGTAATATAAACTAATTGCTGTTCCTAAGAAACACACTAAAGCAATTTGACTAAGTGACACAAGTGCAGGGTTTTCCCTGGGAAAAGGAACAGAAACTCTCTCCAATTGAATTGAAACTCCAGAACTGCTGAGGAAGGAAAAACTCTAACTTTATTTCGTAATTAATCTCAGCCTAGATTTTTCTAGTTTATACCCACAGACTGCCTTCTACTTTTTCTCAGTGCCTCACAAAGGCCACAGTGTTATAATTTCATCTCCTAAAATCGTGGGCCAACACCCACATATAAACCTATCAAAACATTGTGATGTTCAGCAAGTAACTTTTTCCTAGTACCCTGTATGCTGGGCTGCATCCCCAGCAGCGTGGCCAGCAGGGCGAGGGAGGTGTTTCTGCCCCTCTGCTCTGGGGATAATGCCCTGCAGTGCTGCCTCCAGCTCAGGGGCCACCAACATAAGAAGGACATGGACCTGTTGGAGTAAGTCCAGAGGAGGCCACGAAGATGCTGGGAGGGCTGGAGCCCCTCTGCTGGGAGGACAGGCTGGGAGAGTTGGGGGGGTTCAGCCTGGAGAAGGCTCTTCCAGTGCCTAAAGGGGCTCCAGGAAAGCTGGGGAGGGACTCTGGATCAGGGAGGGGAGCCATAGGATGACAGGTAACGATTTTAAACTGAAAAAGGGGAGATTTAGGTGAGATATGAGGAAGAAATTCTTGACTGTGCGGGTGGTAAGCCCCTGGGGCAGGTTGCCCCGAGAAGCTGTGGCTGCCCCATCCCTGGAGGTGTTCAAGGCCAGGTTGGACGGGGCTTGGAGCAACCTGGGCTGGTGGGGGATGTCCCTGCCCAGGGCAGGGGGGGAGAACTGGATGATCTGTAAGATCCCTTCCAACTCTACCGTTTTATGATTCTATGATCTTTAGTTTTAGAAAATTGTACAAAAAAGGTTCACAGTTCCGAGCAACATGCAAAGGATTTGAGCGAGAGATGTTTTTTTCCATTCATCCCAGGCAGTCTAAATCCTGGAGATAGATAAAATGCACCACGCCACCAAAAATTACTTCACTTCCCTGTGATGTTGGCAGTGAGGGAAAAAAGCTTTATCACATGGAACGGGAGTCACCTGGAGGCAGGGCTGAGCTATAGCACTGTTGCCACCACGCACCTCTGGGTTGCTGTGCTTTTAATGCATATTAGTAATTGGGGGCGGCGCTGGATGTACTCACGGGGCCGCAGGGCGTGGGGATGAGCTGTCGGTGCCGGGGGGTGAGGTTGGGCAACGGGGAAGCCGCGGTGCCGCTAGAGGGGGAAAGAAGAGGGGAGCCATTATCGACATCGCCTCAAGGCTTCCCGCCCTCCCGCCTGGGCCGTACCAACCAGCGCCGGCTGCGCGGGGGGAGGGAGAGCGGACCAGCCCACTCCCCGGCTCACGCCCCGCCGGGTAACGAGGGGGGAGTCACCCCCGCTCAGCCCTTGGTTCCGCCCGCCTGGGGAGAGCCGCCCCCTCCGGTAACGCTACCTACATGGCTGTAGAAGCCGCGCTCGTTTTCCGGGAAGTGCTTCCGGGACGTCACTTCCCCCTCCCGGGCGGGAAGAGCCGCCGGAGGGCGGCGGGAAGGAGGGAGGGAGGGGCGCGCCGCGGCCCCGCCGCCGCCCCCCCCTTTCCCCTGAGGAGGAAAGATGTCGGGGTTGCCTCCCGCTGTGCCTTGCCGCGGCGCTGGGGCGTTCTGAAAAGGCCTTGATAAGGCGGGTGCAAAGGGAGGCGGTACAGCAGCGCTGCCCTCAAAGGTCTCTGGGGCTCGGTGGGGAAGGGGGCAGCGCTCCGGCTGTGAGCGGGGGTGTCAGGCTCGGGGTGGCTCTGAGGGAGAGGAGGGCAGGTTTTAGGAGAGGGTGACTGGAAATACAGCCGAAGTGCAAGAAAGCACTAGGCTGTTTCAGTCTTTTAGCATCTTCTTTGTATGGGAGGTGTTTTGGGTGTTTTTTTTAATGATTGTATCTACGATCTGTGTTCATAAACAACTCGATGCTCTCATTTAGTGAAACAGCGATAATATATACAGTTTCTTTGGGATGTTGAATTCTGTGTGTTAGTTGTGGTGCAAGCAATGTTTGGGTGACTGGCCTGTGTTGCACAATTTAATAGATATGCATCCCAAGCCACTGCTTTTTCACTATCAGATTAGCCTTAGTTTCTCTAACACCTGCAACGTTTTTGAGTTGTTTTCGGGGGGTTTTTTGTGCAAGGTGTAAAGCTGAGTTTATATAGAGAGTTTTGGCCTGGTTTCAGTCAGGATAGAATTAATTTTCTTTCTAGTGGTTGCTGTGTTTCCGATGTGGTATGAAAGGAATATCAATAGTGCTTATTGATTTAGTTGTTGCCAGGTGATGTTTATATTTTGCAAGGATTCTTTTCAGCTTCCTATAGAAGCTGAGAAGGAGCACAGCCCGAACGATGGAAGGGCCAGTGGAACATTCCGTACCACAGGCGTCACGCTCACTATAGAAGTGGGGTTAGCTGGGGAAGGTGCTCCCCATCGCTGCTCAGGACAGTGCCAATTCACCAATTTATGGGTGGTGAGATTGACTTGTGTCTTGCATATTCTTTTACAAATATCATTATTATTGGTATTTTCCTTTTCTGCTATCATTCTATTAAACTGTCTTTATCTCAGCCCACAAGGCTTTTTCCCCCTTTCCCTCCTTTTCTCCCTCTTCTGGGGGGAAAAGGGAGAACTGCGGGAGTAGCTGCATGGTCCTACCTGCTGGCTGGGGTTAAACCACAACAAGTTCTTTGTAGATACTGTCAAAATAAAGTATCTGTCTTAATATATAGGTGCAAACAAGTGGTCAGAAAAACTATAGCAATGGCTTTTTGTCTTTGCTATCAGATGGTGGTCATTCCAAAGTCCAGAGCACTTTCAGTCTTAGATGAATGCAGTAAGAAACTGTTAGTGTCATACATGTAGTGGTGATGGTCAGAATCTGCTTAGCTTTTTAAGAAATAATTAGAGCTTTTGACCAAAAGGTATCAGTTTTGAGGTAAGTTGCATCACAGAAGACTTTTATATAAAATTTGTTGTAGTACCTGATAGATGCCTGCCAATGAATATCTTTCAATCATAAAAAAATACTTAGTATGCTCCATGGAAGAATCATGAAGGACACTGTGCATAACCAGGGTTGCAATAGATAAAAAAAACCCAGAATCTGTAGTGCTGGAAATGCTATGCTTTATATTCAAGATAAATCGTGTCTTGGTATACTATACATAAGTTTTAAAAGACACTATTTCTTCTTTCACGTGACTGCTTTGTCTCTTGTTGCTGTATGTGTTATCTTTAAATAATTTTATTCTTTCTAAGGAAAGAATCTGGTTATATTGAACTCTGGCTGTATTGTTGGCTTTTTTTTTGACAATTGCTTAAAAATTAGGGTTAAAACTAGCTTCTCGTGAAAAGAAAGTTTAAGTGAATACTATCATGAGGATTTTTGACATGTGTCAGTGATAAGATTATCAACACAACTGAGTATCTGAGTTGGTTTTGTCTCTTGCCTTTTGGTTTATTTTCGCAAATATGGCTGTGAAAGAACTTTTAATTCTCTCACTTTATGCTGACCTTTAAAGCAGGTGACTAGGTGGTATTTGTGTTGGATGAAGACAGCTCTGCTGGCTGCCCTTATCTAATCTGGAGCTCTGTTGCAGAAATCCTTGGTGAAGGCCAGGTGTGGGGAATGTGTAAGGGCTCTGTGACAGCCTTGCTGAGCGCTTGCAACTGGATTTTCACCAGCTGCTCCACCTCTCGCATCTCAAGTTTTGGAGCAAGGGGGATGTGACACAGACCTCACCTTCACCAGAGCAGGAAAACTGATTCTGCTTGCCTTTCAATTGTGTTAGAGAATAGTACTGCTGTAAAACTTTACATGAGGTCAGTTTCTTGTTTCTCTCTTTTATTTACTTGTCTTCAATGTGGAATGTTACAACTTCTTTGGAAAACATTTCTTATGGAAGAACTAATGCAAAAATGCAGTGTGTGTGTTCTCGTTAACTTGTGTTGCTTCTGCATTTTATTTTTTGCAAAACGTGTTTCTTCTGAGACTTGTAGAAAACAATCTACGTAGACATACTGCTTTTGCAGTGATGAGGTTAAACTGTAATGGTGTGAATTAAGTGTAGATGATGTGTATGGATTAAGAGATGATGTGCACTAGTCCAGGTGGGGATTAAGAGTGACCCTTTTCCTTGCAGCCTTAAATTTCAGGGGGGGAGCAGTTTCCCTGGTTTAATCTATCACATGTCCATGTAGTTGGAGTGAGTGATGGGGGTGCTATTTATTTCAGAATCTGTGAGCTGGTGCTAATTCAAAATGTTTGTTAAGCCATGACACCATTTCCACAAAAGCACTGTACAGATAGTTGTCATTTCTATATATTCATGCAGGCTGCCTGGCAGCAAAATAGTGTTTATTCCCATGAAGGCCACTTGCACACAATAGAAAATAGTGTAAGTAATTCAGTAATCAAACCAAGTATGAGTACTCTGTTAACAACTGAGGGAGAGTACTATTTTTTTTTTGTTAAAACTAGATGCTTAAAAGCACAAGCAGGCAATGTCTTCATTTATTTTCTTTGCTCTTAAAAGCCTTCTGAGAAAAGGTTTTTTTCTGCTCCTGTTTTAAGTTTGAAATGAATGTATTTCTGATTAAATTTTGAACTGCTCTGAGTAGAAAGGGAAAAGGAGTTTGAATGCAGGTACTCTTATGAATATGGTGTCTTAAAGCCTAAGAAATTGAGGAGTTGCACAATTGGTAACTAGCTGCTACTTGTAAGTCAGAATTTGTTTGAGACTCTCAGAGCTTATACTCTATATTTTTTCCACCTTTAATACAATA